GCGTTAAAACAGGTTACGTTTCATGCTTATGACACAGTAAGCCGATAAAATCGTAAGTGCAAAACAGACAACAAAAAGTAAAACTGTAAACTCTCTCTGATCTTATGGTAATTTGGTTCTGACCTTCACGATCACGTGCGAAAAAGTAAATACAGCTAAACGTGACAGAAAGAATAGTTTTGTAAAGACGTGTTCCGGGTCATGGTAGCGCAGAATCTGAGGATGAAAATCGACACGATGCTCTCAATCTCGATCAGTGAACGCTTCGAAAAACAACGCGCAATTGTCCGAATGTTATGTGTTGAGACGAAAAATTTGGAAAGATTTATGGATTATACGGTGATGTCGCTTACAAATCCACACCCCATTCGTGGTAGACCCACACTAAAAGATGTCGAGCGTTTTCGGAATGGTTCGTTCTACGAATTCTGTCGTTTGAAAGCGTTGATAACTTTGAAAGAAGTGAATACGTCAGATGTTGAAACAAGGAAGAATGTTCATGAGCAGAACTTCGATGATGAGGTAAAAAACAACAAGCAAATCGTCGTTGATTTACCTCTCGTGTTCAACAGCCTGATTCTTTTCCGTTTTTTCATGATGCTGGATACTTAATTGTAACGAACAACTTGATATTTCGTACATCATTAATATTATTGTACAGGCGATGATAAATGTTGAGGAAACAAATCTTGGGCCGATTTTGGAATCTTTGAAACTCAAATGAAATTCAATGAAATTGCCTGATTTGACTAACCTGATCTAGAATTCTTATGTATTTGCGAAATACTGTAAGAAAACGGCATAAAAAAGAATTCAAATTCGTTTTCGGCGACCGAAATTTACGGCTTCGAGACAGCACTTCCGTTTGCTGTCCACTTGCTGTCCACCGCAACAGATGATGACGGAAATGACGTAGTAAGGTAAAAGTGTTCAAGATCAGAGCAATAAAAGGAGATGGTTAACCTACACGACTTTTACTCATGCCAAAATGCTGCTCGTTCCAATAAAGTTTTTTTCGTCTGCTGGGTAGATTATGCTCTGCAAGGTTCTCAAATTTTCACTGAGTAAATGTTATTTTACCCGCATGTTTCACACTGAGAGATCATGACACACATATCGATTTACTGTGGCTATTAGCGGGGAAGAGCGTTGCGTGACGACATTAAAAACGGCTGTGTAGCAGACTATTTTGAAGCATGATGGTGAAGCTTTTTATTACGGCTGAATGAGGGTTCCAATTTTCTCCAAAGTATCTTCTGGATCTGAATAACTAAGCGATTTTCTTTTGTCCATGAATGTAATATTTTTGTGCAATGCTGTATCACGTTAAGCCCAACTCATTAGTTTTGTTTGGAAAATCTTAAATTATTACGGGTAGTGATTTACAGGTCATGTGTACTGTTGCAATAAAACGTAATACTAAGTAGAACGGAGGTACAAGGCAACTGTAATATCATCACGACTGAGCCATTCTTCGGTGGTTCCAACAATGTTACCTCTTGCGTCTTTGGCTGTTCGTTTTGCGACTGGGAAGTGGGAAGCCTTTACACAAGCGAAACCTGCTTAAAGACATCGAAGACTGTTGGCATGTACACAACAAATCTTCAGTCTTGAAAGATCTTCACTTCACTTAAAACTCTGTTGCCTTCGCATAGATCTCTAAGATCTTTAAAACTCCCTCCGCAGCTGATCTTTGATTCTCGAATTAGCAGCGGTCTGTTGCTTTTGCGTTTCCGGTCTCATTCACTTCCGTCACCGAGAGATGCGGTTCACAACGAACTAAGTCACGTGGTACAAGTATCCTCCCTTATCCTTTTTTTTACTCGCCACTTCGCGCTTCGGTCGCCCTTCGGGCGACGGTCTTCCGTCACCCTTTTTCTTCCTTCTCGCTGCCGTATTATAAAGAGATTCGGGGGGGAGCATGATACCAGAGTAGTGTTCTTATTTTTTGTATAAATTGAATTCGAATTAAAATAATTTAAAGTAAATGATATTCCTGTTCTTGTATCGGTTCCCCTTCACATTGCTGTTCCTGTTCCGTTGCTGTTTCCGGTTCCGGTTCCGGTTCCTGTTCCCATTCCCGTTCCTATTCCGGATTCCGGTTTCCGGCCTTTCCAGACGCCCCAACGAGAATATAGCTTGCGGTTATTGATTTTCAAAATGGCGAACAACAAAGTCGATCTGGTCAGGTAAAAAGCAAAGAAATCCTTTACAGTAGATTCATAAAGATCCCATTGGGCTAATTAATCGTGCTAAGCGACAGGTATAAACATTTTTCGAGGTGAGACTTTAAATAATTAATTTATTTATTCACACGTAACTCCTCTGGACCCTGTGCAGTAGATTGAAATCATAATTCAACTTTTTCACTTGCTGTCGGTGACTCTGAGGAATTATGACGAACCCCTGGGGAGGACGGCTCTGCATATGAAAGGCAAGGGGATGCTCGTCGGAAATTTTGAATTAAACCCCTACAAGAGATCGATCCGGGCGTAGCCCAAGCTTTTTTGACGCCTGAGAGACTATGTTACTGAAAACTCAGACAATACACGTATTTTTATATTTTTTCACATGCAACCCTAAACAAGACCTTCACGGCTAAATATAATACCGTTTTGCCCAGAACACCGTAAGTGAGACCAAAATCCGAAATTTACACCCCGGCCTAAGCAAGACGACGACCATCCCAAGCCCTTTTATATGCGGAGCGCCCCCCTCCCCCCCCTCCCCCCCGAGTGACGAACGCTCGCGCTCTATTCGCCTCCTCACTTCTTATCTTATCTACAAACAAGCGAGACTCAACGCTACTTAGAGCGTTCTTGTTGAATGTAAAATCCAGATATCATTGCTTTTCTTGAAAACATTGAAAACTGAGAAAAAGTGTCGAATCACATTAGAGTGATAATGTGCTAATGTTTCGTAAACAGGGAATAAGACTGGCACACTTTATTCGTTTTAATTCAGCGCACCAAAGTAAAGGGATTGCAAGTGCTAAGTTTGCATGATGTCCAGATTAGGTTTTTTTTACTACTAAATTTTGTAAAAGTGTTGCTGGTAGATGAAATAAGTCGCAAACAGTGTTGGTGACAGTGTAAATCAAAAGTAGAGACGTAAAGTAAAAATAAGTGGACTGTATGAGGATTCCGAGCTATATGTTTGAAACAACTGATCGAGCTTTTTTTATCGACAAGCCAACTTAACTTAACATAAGCACGGGAAAGTAAACAACAGGTGAATAGGACTAACCTTAAACGTGTCATCTAGGCACACAAATTTTTGTAGAAACGTCTTGCCCGACAAGGTGAAGAGCACAACAGGGAATACTTGCTTGGTTCTCTAAGATTTCATTTTTTTCTTTCTCATCTATAAGGATAATCGACAAGAAGACAATGACACGTTCCAGTTCTGTAAAATCTTTACCTCCTGAGGAAATGTGCGACATTATATTCTGCATGTTGCCATCTGGCGAAATGAAAGGTTTGTCTAGTTTGCTGAGTCTTTTTAGTTTGCATTTCGACATATTTATCATCGGAGCAGACTGCAAAAACCTATCACCATCACGTTGGTGGAGA